GCTCTTCCAGAAAACAACTACTTTCCAAACATCCTCTCACAAAATAACAGATAGCAATGCTGCACTCACAAGTTCTGAAAAGAACACATTAGACCAAAACCAGTTTTCCTGGGCTGCTCTTTAATTCACAATGATGCTAACATTTGAAAATAATTTTGTTTCTAGTTCAGTTCAGAAACTACTGCTTCAAATGACACAAAATTTCTCCTAAACACTTTATTATAGGGAGTTGTACGAAGAATTTACCTCAACAAAGCAAACAAAAGCCCACAAATTGGCATTTTTTTCATGTTGCCTCGCAAAGTACAGAGACCAGGAGAGAGCAAGACACCAGCGAGTGGGCTGCAGAATGGAGCGCCATGCTGCAATGGTTGGCACTTTATTACTTCCTAAGAGCCATTCATGAGATTTGCTGCAATGAAGCCTCAAGTCAGAGAAACATTTTTTTTTAAGCTAAAAGCAGAGTGCCCTCTGGAGGTCAAGAGCAGAAACACACTCACGCTGGCCCTGGCCAGACATCTCCAGAATAGGCTTGCTTCCCTGGTGGACTTTTTAGGCAAACACATCATGATCTTAATCGAGTACGTTCTAACATAAAACCCCATTTATACTACAAAAATAGGTGACTTATGGCTAAATACTGCGAGGCAGCAGAACAGTTAGCACCCAAACTGTAGCAAGGCTGGTGATGTTTGAACTGGTGAAAATGTCAAAGCAGCTACACCCCTGAACTTCCCCATCTGCTCAGCTGGCCAGTTCAATTAATGCCCAAGGCTCAAATGCCACACGGAAAAGCTAAGACTAAGAATTAGGAAAGGCATGCTTAAGACAGCTATAGCTGAACTCTACACATGTAAACACACACACACACACACACCTCTTTAATATAAGAAATCTGTGATGAAAAAATAAGCTCAGGAAGATTTACTTAAAATTTTAATTATTTTTAAAATTTGTTAATGTGTATGTGCTTGTGTGGACATGTGTTTGCCATGGCACTTGTGTGGTGGTCAAAAGATAACTTTCAGTCCTCTTTTTCCACTGTGCTGAGCAAGGGCTCTCTAGTCTGTGCTACTGAGTTGCACACTCCAGGATAGTTGGCCCGTGAGCTTCCAGGTGACTCTTACTGTCTCCTGTCTTAGCAGACGCACTGGGATTATAAATACATAGTACAGATAAACCACCTTACCAGCTATATTTACAATGTTTGTATGCATGCGTGCATGTGTGTGTGCGCGCAGGTGAGTGTGCACATTTGTGAGGAGGCCAGAAGACAACTTTGGGCTCATTCTCGGGCGAGAGGAAAGATTCAATGGCACTGAAGATAACACTGCTAGGATTTTTAGAGGCGAATGAGCTCTCTAGGAAACCGAGGTTGCTGCTGCCATTACAATGTCTTAGAGCCTTGGACAAAAGAAGGCCACTCCCCCCAAAAGGATGTTTTATCTAAGGTATAAGCTGACTCTACAGTATGAACAGAAGTGAGTTGGGTTACATCATTATTCCTCTCAAGTTTGGAAACTTCAGAGCTTTACTAAGCATGACTCATATTCATGAGTGATCAAGGTTTTGAATGGACAATAAAAATAGATGCCATTTCATCTAGCTGCTGAGGTCCCTGTGGGAACAAGTCGCACACCCAAAAGTCTAGATTTAGAAAAAGAAAATTTACTTGTCATTTATCAGCCAAACTAAAGTACTTGTTCACCACGCATCCTTACAGAGGATAAGTCCTTTATGCAGCCCTTCAAGCTATCCTTGACTTTCATTTGAATTTATGAAAAAACTTCATTTCAATTTCACATACCCAAAGGAAAGCAACAAGGGAAGGAAGGGACACAAAAAGGCATGGCCTCACTTCTAGGAGGCCACCCTACCAAGGTCATCCCTGTTGATCTTTGATGGTCTAGACTGACCACTCAAAGTCCATTCTAGTGTTTACTCAGGCTTCAGGCTACAGGTAATAAAGCTACCTTCAGGTCTATTCCAGACCTGATCCTACTAATTGCCACACAACAGTCTAAGAGGCAGCACTATTTTATCTATCTTGTAATTAGCTGTATGATGTTCTCCTTCCCTTTCAGAAAAACCAAAATCTGACGGTGCTGATGGTGTCAGAAAGAGAACACACTCCTTTCAACAATGATAATTCACATGTGTGGGGACACACACACACACACACACACACACACACACACACACACACTCTTTTACACTCGCTCGGGTTTCTATTTTCACCCTGCCATTAACTATCTGTGTTAAGTCTGGGCAAGCTGCTTTACCTCTCTGGGCCTTGGATTCCTTGTATGTAAAACAGAGGTAACACTACACTCAAAGGCTTACTGTATGAAGCAAACCACAATGAACAATGCACACACAGCAAATGCAGGCTTTCTTTATTCCCAGCTCTTCCTCAGTGCTAATCATGGCCTATGAGGACCACAGCACACAGATAGGCATGGATGGACATGTGCATGATGAGATCCTATGGTATAAACTATTCTGAACATTGCTTTTTGTTTTAGCACAACCTGGAGATGCAAAACTCTCCCACTAGGTAACATCACCCCTCCATGAAGCCGTGAATATCACCTGTGACTGAAAATCTCTACTGTGTTCCTGCAGCCGAGACTTGCTATTTTAGATACTATAAGACATCTACCTCTACATGCATCATGGAGATTTCAAACATAAACCCAAAGTCAACTTCTTAATTTCCTCCTTTAAACCTAAGCTTCCCTATGGCTTTTTCATCTTAGCATATGGCATTCCCATCCAACTACTCAGGTGCCACACTTGGCATTCCTTCCCCTAACCTGCCTGTTCTCCATCACCACTGCCCGCACCTTCGTCTGAGCCAAGGAGGTAAGGAGGCTCACAGGCTTCTCACATTCCCTCTTTTAAGGCACTAACCTGTTAGTCAGAAGACAATCAAATGACCTCACCTGTTACTGAGGATGTCACCTCCAGCCCCTTGGCTTGGAACAATCTACTTCTGCATTTAACATGAACTCCAGCTCTTTGAACGGCTACATAATCTGGCCTGTGTTCTGCCTTTCAATGTCACCGGAGAACATACCCTTGCTCAATAGAGTATAACCCAGTGTCCAGTAGAAAGCCATGAACTGTTTCCCTTCTTAGTACCCTCATTCTACCCTTTCTGCAGAAGTCTCAGATTCCTCTTCCTACAGCAGGTTTCTGTCACAACAGTCCCTTTCTATCATAGCTTTTACTGTGTAAGACACTGTACAAAAGGACATTTACCACATAGACAGACAGTTCTATCTTGCTCAACATGTGCCCAGTGCCTGTAACTGCAGAGATGATGTGGTGGTTTGAATAGGAACAGCTCCCATGGGCTCATATACCAGAATGCTTGGTTAACAGTAAGTGGAACTTATTGAAAGGATTAAAAGGATTAAAAGGATTAGGAGGTGTGACCTTATTGGAGGAAGTATGTCACTAGAGGTGGGCTTTGAGGTTTCAAAAGCCCATGCCTGATAGTCTCTTTCTCTCTGCTTGTGGATCAAGACATAGTTCTCAGCTACTTCTCCAACACCACTCCTGCCTGCTGCCATGCTCTCTGCCATGTTGATAATGGACTAAACCCCTGAAACTGAAAGCAAGCTCCCAGGTTAAATGCTTTCTGTTATAAAAGTTGCCTTGGTCATGGTGTCTCTTCACACAATAGAGCAGTGACTAAGACAGACAGGAACTAGTGGAATTGTACAAAACACATGATAAATAATAATTTAAAAATGTGCATAGTTTCCAAGGCATCCTCAAATTTCTGAAAACAAGCATATTTTTATGATATTCTATAACCACGGACCTTTAGACGAAGCCTTAGCACTCTCCTGCTAAAATCTGTGACATACTAGCTAGCAAAGCTCATAGTTATTTTCGTTTTTATTAAATCATAATTCAAAATGAGTATAAGATTGTGGTATGGTGTGGCTGTCTACTCCTTCAAGCCCTATTCTAAAACTGCCAATGTACCAGCATTGAAAAGTGATTTTTGAGAGGTGGTCAGGCAGAGATCTCTGCCTTTGGGAGTAGAACGATGCTGTTATGAAAGTAAGCGAAGTCCCCTCATGCATCACATGGCCTCTGGTCATGCCCCATGAGGTGATGACAAAAGACCCTTGCCAAATACTGTACCCATAATACTGCCCTTTCCCAACCACCAGAAACGTGAGATAGCAAATTGCCATTCATCACAAACTACCCAAGCTCAGGTATTTTGTTCTCGCAGTGCAAACAGACTAAGACAAGGACCATGCCTGAACAGCAATTACTTCATAATTAAGTATCAGTTACCAACAAATTAGTGCTTAAGCAATAGTAATTTGTCCTAGTGATTTTTATAGTAGTAAGATGCTTCCGACAAAGAACTCCCAGACCTGTGTTGGCAAGGAATCTCCGTGGGTAAAGGAGCTTGCCATGCAAGCTGACAACCTGAGTTCAATCCCTGCAACACATGGTGGAAGGAGACAACTGACTCCTAAAATGTGTCCTGACCATCACAGGTGTACATGTGTGCCTTCTCTTCCTCTCTCCTACACAATACTAAATTTAAAAGAAGGAAGGAAGGAAGGAAGGAAGGAAGGAAGGAAGGAAGGAAGGAAGGAAGGAAGGAAGGAGGGAAGGAAGGAAAGAGGGAAGGAAGGAAGAAAGAAAATCCTGTCCTCTTTGTGAGTGAAATGAAACTCAAACTCAAAACTCAAGAAACTAGTGTGAGCTTGGACAGCTTCGCTCAGGCTGAGTCTGAAAAGATCTCACAAGTGAAACTATGAAAAGACGACCATGTCGGTGGAACATACTTGTTTCTTTTTAAAGGATTAGCTCAATGAAAACAATTCTTTCCCACAAAAAAGAAAAGAGAGAGAGTACAGAAATTCAGAGTATGTATGTGGAACACAGCAAACCCTCACAATCGGCTGCTAGGAGGATGACCAAAAAGGCAATCGCATTAGAGAGTGAGAAACAGGGTTTCTTACTTGATTGCCTCGTGAATATTGTTTGAAGTGTGGCCTGATAAGGCATCGTGTAAACTTCGGATAAAGAAATCTCTGTATTCTTCCGGAAGGGCCATGAACGTTCCACCCATCACGATGAACTCCACCTTATCCACGCTGTGACCGAGCTGCTTTAGCTGGAAGAAGCACACACCCATCAAACGTTCTTCTAGTGCTGCGAACTCCCCACTTCATGCTGCAGGCTCACAAGCCGTTTACAAAGAAAGAAGCAATAAAACACATTTGCTAATTCCATGCATGTACAAAAAGAAATGTCTGAAAGAAAAACAATTCTTGTTCAAATGAGTGAGAATTAAAACTAAACCAGAAGCCAGACTTTAATGCTGATGGTTAAGTAGGAATTAAACAACCAGAATTTAAGATATTTATAAAACAAGTAACATAGAATAAATTAAAAAATCAGTATAATGTTGTACCAAATACTGCAAATATTTACTGATCATATATTTTACGTCAGACTTCATGATAAAAGACACAATTGTGATTGAAATATAACCTGGATTTTATGATCGGGAGAAAGATAAATACTAGATTAGAGTGAGACTTCAAGATGCAATTTAAGGCTGATTTGGGCACAGGCCCTCAAGCTGCTTCTGGAAAACCAAAGTACATAACTGACTGCCTCAAAATGAAACATCTCATCTCTTCTACTACTACAGGGCAGAATGGCCCAATCATTCACTGTGCCAACTATAATAAGCCAGGATTCTAAGTTTTAAAAACAAATTTTAAAGTTTCTTGCTATATGTTAAATGTAAAGAAGCCAGGATCAAATACCAAATTATGGACTAGAATATACTATACAATGAGTGTCTATGTAGAACCTTTCAAAAATAGTGTTTCTGCAAGTAGCAAATAGTGACTGCTGCTACTGTGTATCTGTGTACCTGAGCGAGCATATGAATGTCTATCCGTCAACACTAGAAGATTACTTCTGTCCATGGCTGCATACAGGAGGTAACATCAAAATCATCCAGGTAGCATCTACAAAAACTCCTGCTATAACTCTAAGCCAAACTCCACTCACACCTACAGAGGTCGAGATCCTCATGCCGCCATGTTGCTAAGTTCCCCAGATGACTCTACTGCACCACAGTTAGAAAAGAATTGTTATTCAATGTGACTATCCTAATGTCTAAACCTAGAATCTTTAAAAAATTTTTAGTAAATAAAACATTTCACACTCTGTTAAAACTGTTTTCCATCTTGTGATGGCTATTCCTAGTTGTCAACTTGACATCTAGAATTAACTAAAACTCAAGTGGCTGGGCACACCTATGAGGGATTTTTTTTCTTCATTAAATCACCTGAAGTAGAAGACCCTCTTCTAATGTGGATCTTTACTCTGGGCCATGCCTTCTGCTGGAAGCCTATATAAAAGACATGGAAGAAGGAAGTGTTCTCTCCTTGCCTGCTCTCCCCTTCACTGGCAAGTCCATTCCTTCACTGACGATAGAGCCAGTTGGAATCTTTATAATTCTAACCTATAATGAAGACCAGCTGAGACATTCAGCCTTGTAGATTGAACAACTACTAGATCCTTGAACCTTCTGCTGATAGGCAGCTATTGTTGTATTAGTTGGACCACAGCCTGTAAGTCATTCTAATAAATCTCCTTTAGATAGATAGACAGATAGAACATAGACAGAGAGACTCATTTTTTAACTTCTGTTCCTCTAGAGAACCCTGACTAATACACACCTTAAACGAGTTAAATACCATGTCTAAAAACTAAACCCAAGTCAAAATCCATTCAGAACATATTTTCCCAAGCTACGTGGGCTCCCCAGGTAGGGCCTGCTGACTGACACTAACAACTGCTTGGACCATTAGAACTGGGCGGTAGTCAATAATAAAGTCACACAAACCCCAAAGCAACTTACGGAGTGCACACTCCTTTCTATTATAGACCTTATATTTGTCTTACCATGTTAATTACTATAACATCTACAGATGGTTCGTACATTTTAACACTTGCAAAGTATGTTTAGACTCCTCCAGAGTTCAAGGTCACCTGCACAATACTAGTTTTTAATCAGCTACAACAATGTATAATTTATATGAAACAAAATCCATCCCCTTTTAAGGTACAACTGGGGAATTTGATTTGAGTTATGCACACCATAGTCATGACACAGAACAAGCCCACAAGCCCGATCGACTACTCACACCACTTGTCTGTAAATTCCCTGCTCTCACTGAGCAAACCCATCCAAACACTTCCTGATCTGGCTCTGGAAGCTGAAGTCCAACCCCTTGCTGTCAGTTAAAGAACTTTCACACACTTTCATATGTGACTTCCTTCACACTGAAAGGAGACAACAGTCACCACACACGGTACTGTCAGTCTCTCCTTCAGATGAGTGTAAAACCATACTCTCCTCATCTTACCTCACTATGACTCCCAATCAAGCAATGGCATCATCTTTGAAGCACAAAAACCAATTTAAAAAAGCCTCTTTACCTGCTCTATCCGGTGTCTTGTCTGCAGGTAAGGGTCATATCTAGCACGGATAGCTCTCATGGAAGTTGGCTAAGTAAACAAGGAAAAAAAATATCATGTGATAGCCATATTAAAAAAAAAAAAAAAGTACAAACAATGAAGGATTGCATTAAAATTACATACCCTAGGGTTCTGAAGACTAAAACCACACCTCACGTCCCACCTTTCTCTCAGTCTTAGCAAGGTTCAGATCACCTGGCTAGTCCTCTCCCACAGAGCATCTCAAAAGCAGGGTCTCTTCCTGAGTCACAGTCGCCTCCAAGTTATAGATGCACACATACAGATGGGCACACATACGCAAGAGTCACGCAGCAGAACGATTTCTGCCCAAGGCCCTTAATTGTACACGGCTTCTAATGGCTCAGCCAGCTGCCTTGATGCCACTGTCACACAACGGAACACTCACTCTACAATGATCAAGCAGCTTTCCAGCATAAAATGTTCTTTGATGAGTCGTGTTTTTGTTTTTTGCAGCAGGTAAGACTATTATAGGGATCCACAGCTGGTCAGAATACAGAAAATAAGTGACAATGATCAACTCTCGAGATCCCAACAAATGACTGTCGAAACAATCTGCACAATGACAATACCAGCTGACAAGCCAACATGGATCAGGGAGTTTCCTAAGGCCTAGATAATGGGCTATGGGCAATCAATGGAGCTGAGAGGAGAATCAGTTCTCTCCACGGATGAGCTCTTTGATAGATTATCCAATCCCCAGTGGTCAGACCTAACCAGCTATAATCCTAGTGGTTGGGAGGTTGAGACAGGAAGACTATCAAAAGGTTGTAGCCAATCTGAGTTACAATGAGACATGTCTGGAAAGACACACACACACACACACACACACACACACAAATGTATATAAAAATAAATGTGGGGCAAGATGCAAACAGTATTTTGACACATTACTTAGTATGTAAAAATGAAAAAAAAATTTGGACCATGGAAAATGGGTCAGACCAGCTGCTAATTGTATCTCCCTGTTGGCTCTTTAAGCCTCCATGCCTCAAATTCTTAACCACAAAACTGAGATAATCACAGTATCTACCTTCCAAAACTGCTGAAAGGCTTGGAGTGGCAAAGCACTTGGGATGGCAATTGGAAATAATAGTTAGGAAATACGCAAGTCAGCATTTCCTCGGTGACCTGACAGCACTAGAAGACAGTGCAAATACTTGGCAAAAAGCTTTTCTAGTCAGGAGAAAAGCCAAAGCTTGTGAGAATGTCAGTACTTGTCGCGCCACACTCTGGATCACAGCACTTTGTCAGGACCAAGTCAAAGGCTTTACCTCATAGCCCGTGTAAGACTGGGTTGAGTACTCAAAATCTGAATCAGGTCCTCCAGGGCAGTATCTGGACACAACGACAGAACAGGGAGGGCAGATGAAAAGCTCCGTTCAACAGAAAGCCCTGCAATCACAGCAGCTTCGCCACCAACTCAAAATAGCAGGTGACCCTCGCAGCTTTGCTTACCAACAAGCAAACAAGACAAGTGAAGGAACGTGACAACACTCATGTCCAGAACACGGCAGTCACAGCTCTTTACAGACTTGATACAAGGACCCAGCTGTCCAGTCAGATTGACTCTATGCTTTCCTGAGACTATGCTTTACTTAGGAAAATTTCCCTCCCATTTAATCCTCCAACCTGTCCACATTCACATCCATGAACTCTTCCCAAGTCCTCAATTAGAGAAATCAACTGGCTGTTTATAAGAATAACTTTAAATTTTTTTGATATTCTTCTGATCTAAATTCATTTTGAATTTAATGCTGGAATTCCAGGAGCTGACCATGTTTAATTTACCCAGCAACAGGTACCCATTGTCCCAAGTCTCAAGTTCATTCACCTCTAAGTATTTCAGCACTACAACACTGTCTGTTCCACTTTCAAAGCACTGAAATACCTTACCAAAGCTGCTAGTTGAGGCTGACCTACAGATCTGTTCAGTCAGAGTGTTAACTATCATCAGCTTGTACCGATGTAGGCATTAGGGAATTTACTTGCTAGTTTAACTGAAGCACACATATATCAATTTATCAAAATCATACTTACACACATATATTCCCTGTAAAACTGATGTGTGGACATCTGTGGGGTTTACACATCACAGCCACAACAGCAATCTATAAAAGAAAGGTCAATTAAAAAGCTATCATTGGAAAATTAACAAAAATTCTACAGAGTGGTTATCCCTAAGACTGAAGGAGAGGAACACAATTTGAATGGCACATAAAGGTCTCCAAGAGAGTAAAAAGGAGGAAGATTGATAGACCTGATTTGAAAAGAAACCCGAGTATCTCCGTCAAGATACCGATGTTGCTACTTCCTAAAGCTGCATTCTTTTACACGGATAATAGTTAAAAATTTATGTGAATAACATATGAGCTTTGTGTTAGCTTTCACAGTAGGTATGGAACACTGCTCGCAGCAGCTTTGGCACTCTATTACTGAGCTACAAGCCCGGACCTGGGAATTAATTTTTAAGGTCATGGTAATTCTTATTCTCTAATTATTTTGCAAAAAACAGACTACAAAGATCAATAGTATAAAGAATCCTAATCATTATTACTCAAATTCCATAGATACATTAGATTTCAACATCTATAGCAGGAAGTTAGGGATCAGAGTGAGAGTTTATGTGCAAAATCTCAGAGTACCTGAGAGAGTCCAGGCTGGGGGGGGGGGGGCTTGCTTGAAAAGGACTGGTAACAGAGGTAGTAAGGGTATTAAGGTACTAGCACAGAAGGTAGGTGACCAGACAGATCCACACTAAGGCTAACAACAGGAGGCTGTACATGCGGACAGAGAAAACCAGAGAAAGCCCAGGGCTGAAGAAACTGGAGGTCCAATTCTCCAAACACAGCTGCCAACAGATAGATGGAGACCCCCCCAAGACAGATGGCACTGTGTTTATGTCAGTGCACACGTGTGCAGGTCACCAAAGGGGCATGAGCCAGCTCCAGCTATGCAGAAGCATTTGTTAAACCAAACTGAAGAACATGCTGGGAAATGAGCAGCTGACACCCTTCAGTGTGAAGGTAAAGAAATCAAGGAACGACAGGTCAGGTACGGCTGCTCTGAGGAGCCATGGCAACCAGGTGAGCAGTGATTCTGAACTGAGACATTACTGCAATAGTAGTGGTGACCAGATGGCGGCAAGGTAACGTTAAAATTCCTGCGTTCTGATTGGTTTTTAAGTCTGTATACGTGTGTAAGTGCTTGTTGGTAATGTAATGTAGTTAGTAATGCCTCAGCCTTGGCAGTACACTGTATGTAAAAACTGTGACATTCAACTGTCCACAGGCATCAGAATCCAGGAGACAGGTTCACTAAAGTAGCCAACACAAGCACTACAAATATCACATCCTGATCCAGACAGCAGACCAAACATGCTGGGTCATATCAGGAACACGGACTCCAACTCTAGAATCCTGATCCTGCCCATTTCCTCCGGCCTCTCACTCAGCCACTGCTTCCCTGAGCCTTGGTCCCAATGTAGCCCCTTCATGCTTCACACAGAACAAGAATGTCCAACACGGTCTTACACTTCTACCACATGCTCACCATATCTACATTAGTGTTCTGAAAAATCTACCCTGCTTACACCACCACCCTGCAGAGCAGCCTCAAATGGTTTCCTGCTTTGCTTTCTTCACTAGCTGTACGTGACTGTTTACAAGCTAATCCTGACCAAGGCCTCCAGTTTTTTCTAATGAAGCTGGAAGCTGGTACAGTGCAAGTTCAAGGCCAGTGCGGCCTATACAGTGAGACTGTCTCCAGAAGAAAATCATGGGCCAAACGTAACTCCCTGTTTCCGCCAGTCTGTTACATTCCCTGTCTGCACATGCCATGCCCTTCGTGCCTCTCCTATCTCTGTGCCCTCTTGCCTATTTCTCTCTTGCCCCAGCACCCTCTGAGCTTGATCCTCCCTGATCATATGAGCAGACTTACAGGTCAGGACAGTGCCATGCTTTCTGCTGGGGCTTTACTTTTTTCTTTTGCTGAGATGTCCTGTCTCTGGACACCCACAGTGTCTCTACTGGGAGACTTACTCCACAATCATCACATATGAAATTACCCTGCATCATTATATGCCTTTTAGAAGTACAACTGGGAGCTCTCAGCACAGGAAGGTCAGTAACAGTTGCCATATTGTAAGTGATCAGGCCTCAGTCTTTAAAGACACTAGAAAAGCATGCATTCCTTTAAGCCCACTCGCTGGCTTCCTCCCTTTGCCCTCCTTCATTCAAGCACACGGCATGACTGACTTTAGGAGTCTGAATCCATCCCCCTACCGCCTCACTACCTCTCTCAGTATTTCACCAGCTCATCACTCACCCCACTGGCAGTCCTGATGGGTTTTGCCTTTAACTTGGGAACCAGGATCTTTCGATAGTGAGGAGGGACCGCAGCGATGATGTCTACCAGGCGGGGCTGGGACGAAAGGCCGTACTTGGCAGCTGTCTTGGTTTTCAACCTGAAAGCAGAGCATTTGGCATTACTGCGATCAGAGAATTTCAGGCTGAGACTAGGAAAAGGATGATGTGTACACAGTACCACTAACACCTGGTACGCCTCTCCTCCTTCACCAGGTGGCAAGTCTGCCTAACAATCTGTGAATAGGAGGGAAATAAAGGAAACAAAATGTTAGTAAGTATCTTGCTTTTCTTAACCTTAAACACCAGGAAGTAAACCAGGTCTGTGGGGCCCGGGACAATGGCACAGTGGAGGTCTCATTCCAAACTGTGCCTCAGCTTCCAGCTTAACATTTGGGACCATGTGTGGAAGGCTGTGTAGACATTGGCCCCTGCTTCCTGGGAAGAAATCACCCTAATAGAAAGAACTACTTTCTTTGATAAAATATTCTACACAAAAGAAGCAAGACAAATCAAAAACCAGAATACAAATCCTAGAATCTACCTTAACAATTACAAAACTCCATGTCCCCTCCTGACTGTAACCCTATCTGTAGCCCCCAGAGCATCGTTCACTCTGTCTTGCTGTACACAGGTTAGGACTCAAAATCCTATCTCTACCTGAGAGTGCTGAAGTTACAGGTGTGTGCCACCATGCCCAACTTATTCCTTTAATTTTCTCTATGGTTTGAACAGCTTTCCCTTTCTCTGTGCCCACTGGGCAAATCCTTCTGTGAGTTGCACACACTGCTCTCAGCTAACACTAACTGACTATCTAGCATGCAGAGGCTACCACCCACATACGTGGTATACCAGGCATCAGGCACAGTCCTTTCATGTGCTGTGTTGTGGGTAAGTACACACACACACTCACACACTCGCAAGAGTTGCTTCCAGAATGCAGAAAGGATTTTAACATGTGTTGGAAAAACAGGAAAAACAGAGCCAGAAGAGCACTCACGTGCTAGGGAAGCAGGACAGACACAGGGATGACACTGTAAGACATTGTAGGAAAAGCTATAGAATATAAAAGTTTCACAGTCAAAGAGGACAACTGCTGACTCCTTTAGCAAATGCTCTCTAAGCACAGTGTCAAGAAAGGGGTCAGGGAGAGGTATCTCAAGAAACAAACAGAGAAGTGGATCTTCAAAAGGACATGAATGTGGTCACTACATGACATGGGGGAGAATGCTTTCTCTGAGAATATATATGAAGGGCAAACACAGTTAAGAAAATAAGAGCCACTCATTTGAGGGTGTAATAAAGACCAAGGTGAACATGAACGTGTGGAAGAGGTTCTACAGTAGAGATAGCTGGATTACATTAAGGATACCAGAGAGAGTGTTCCTGGCCAAGGTGTCAGAAGAAAAGAAGTACATGAAATGATGGCACAAAGAAGAAATGGGGTCTGGAGATTCTGAATCCCCATTCTGCAAATGACAACTCAACCTGGATGACTTACCTCTCTACTTTCAGATCACCTATCTGAGAGGTGAGGGTGACACCCGTACCTACCCATACTGTAGGTTTTGTTTTAAATGTGTGCACTTGCCTCTGTGCATGCACCACTACAGCAGCGTAGAGGCCAGTCAGCTTTTGAACACTGGCTTCCTCCATGCACTGCACTTACATACTAGAGCATCTTGCCGGCCCCCGTATTGGCTAATATTATGTCATTTGACAGAGGCTAGAGTCATCTGAGAGGAGGAAACCCCAGTTGAGAAAATGCCTTCATAAGATCAGGCTGTAGGCAAGCCTATAGAGCATTTTCTTAATTAGTGATTGTTGTGGGAGGGCCTAGTTCATGGTGAGCTGGTCACACCTGGGCTGATGGTCCTGGGGTCGATAAGAAAGCAGGCTAAGCACACCATGGGGGGCAAGCCAGTAAGTGGCATCCCTCCACGGCCTCTGCATCAGCTCCTGCCTCCAGGTTCCTGCCCTGACTTCCGTCAGTAAGAGTGTGACCTGAGAGTTGTAAGAGGAAATCAACTCTCCTCCATAAGTTGCTTTTGGTCACAGTGTTTCATCCTAGCAACAGTAACCCAGACTAAGAGAAATTGGTACTAGGATGGTGGAGTATTGCTGTGACAGACCTGACCACATTGTTTTGGGGAGGACTGTGGAAGGGCTTTGGAACTTTCACCAAGAAAAGTCATTGGGCCAATGGGATGTTCTGTAGGAGTGAAAAAGATGAGACTGTTGAAAGCAATGCAGCCGATGGAGGCCTGGCTTGTGAAATTTCAGAGGGAAACAAAGACTCTAGCAGGCCCTTTTGTATGAAGAATGTGTGGTATCTGGTCGGCTGGAACTAAGAATCGGCTGTGATTAAGAAGTAGCCAGCATCACTGATGTGAAATCTTCTGGGAAGTATTTTCTCTGTTAGCACGGGCCAGCTGTGTTCAGAGGTGGTCAAGGCTGTGCCTTGTGCTGACAGCCTCCTTCCAAGCAGTACTGGTTTTAACACCATGAAGGGGTCACTGAGAGCAACGTGAGAGGATAGGAGAGGCCATTGGTGGAGATGCACCCAGAGTATCAATGAAAGCCCTAGGATTGAAGGGGTCATGCAGAGAAACTGAGGCTTGGCACCAGGAAAAGAGCCCAGGAGAGGCTATTGGTAAAAGGGCTACCTGGCTGTGGTAGAAGACCCCAATATCTTAGAGATGCCAGTATCAGGGGGTGATCACAAAAACAGCAGCAGCTGTGCAGTGGGTCCGGTAGGAGGCAAGCTATACGTGCTGGAGAGGACGGAGCTGGAGAAGTGCCCCAGGGCCCTTGAAGGAACCCAGATGACTGTGAGTGAATCCCAGATATTAGACATTGAATTATTTAAACTGTAGGAATTTGGTGACTGTGCCCTGGTTCTTTCCTCTTGAAATAAGAAAAATATTTAACTCAATTTTGAGTTTTTTTTACAGGAGCCCACAGTTGAGACTCTGAACTTTTAAAAGAGATTTCGAATTTTTAAAGAGACTAAATTTTTAATCTGTTTGTATTGTAAAGATTGTGAGACGTTAAAATTATTTACGTTTTATATTGTGATATTAACATTAATGGGTCATCGTGGGGCTAAATGAAAAAGGGTTCTAAATGAAAAGTGTTGTGTTTGTGTCAAGATGACAAGGGGTCAGTTGTGCCAGCTAGTTTTATGTCAATTTTACATAAGCTACAATCACTGGAACAGAGGAGGGTCTCAATAGAGAAAAAGCCTCCACAAGATGGGCTGCAGGCAAGCCTGTAAAACACTTCATTAAATCAGTGACAGATGGGAAAGGGCTCAGACTATTGCGGGGGGTGCCACGCCTGGGCTGGAGGTCCTGGGTTCTATAAGAAAGCAGGCTGAGCAAGCTATCTGGAGCAAGTCAGTAAGCAACACTCTACCATGGATCAGCTCCAGGTTCCTGCCCTGTTTGAGTGCCTTGACTTCCCTCAGTGATGGACTGTTGTTATCTGGAAGTGTAAGCTGAAATAAACCCTTTCCTCCCCAAGTTGCTTTGGCCACAGTGCTGCATCACAGCAGCAGTAACTGTAACTAGGACACCCTTTCTGAAAGGGTTAACTCATCTGTTACCTGCAGTGTACCTCACAATAGTGCCCAGGATACTTAAGTGCCAATTACAGGTGGCAATTAGATTCAGAGGCTCTAACACAATTTTATCACTATGAAATACGTGACAAGGCAGAAAACTGCAATTCTTAACTGCTTCATAGAAAACAGGTAGCTTTAGATCAGTTCATCGAACAGCTAGCTCTACCAGCAGGCACAGCGGGGCATGCCATTAATTCCAATACTTGGAAAGCTTAGGCAAAGGAATGTCTTGAGTTTGAGGCCAGCCTGAGATACAAAGTCAGACCATGTGATAGATAGATAGATAGATGGATAGATAGATAGATAGATAGATAGATAGATAGATAGATAGCACCACTGCCCTTTTACAGATGTACTTACTTATTTAGATCGATGTCTTTGCCCTGTTCATGAGCTTCAATCATCTGCTTGATAACATCCCCTATAGTTAGCATCATCAGCTCAGCACTGCTGAGATCTCCTGTAAAGGTATGTTTCAACAACAGAAGTCTCGTTATTCAGGGTGTTTTTTTACATTTATTTGTATGTGTGTGCACATCACACACACACTCGCTCAAGCATGCACACATGCAATTCAATTTTAAGTGTAGAGATCACGGGTTGGTTTCTGCGTCAGCCTCTGGAGTGCTAAGATTACAGCCTGCACTAACTACCTTGCCTGGCCTAACGACCTAGCTGCATTTCCAAGATACCATCTGTTGATCTGCATGTCCCCCTGTCTTAGCAGCTGCCTTTCATCCAGACACAGGAGATGCTGACATAATTATCATTATTATCCTACTATCAATCACAAATGACTCATCCAAGCATGGGCACCAATCCAAGACAGGAAAATCTCTGTTCTTTTCTTCATGGGTCAGGGGAGCCCATCTTTTACCAGCTGACAACAGTGTTGTGGTGTGACAGCTTGGGTAATGACAACAAACATGCCTCCCGCCCGCTGGTGTGAAAAAAGTCATCATCAAAGGGTAGTAAGAAAGCTGTGGAAGTTACAGAGATCTTTCATTTAGTCCCACTTGAAACTACAATAGTGCTGTAAAATTGGTATTGTTATTCCTATTTTATAGATATAAAAACGGATCAAAGCAATTTAAGATGTTAAATTATGTTAAATGCAGGGTTAAATCTCAGGTCCAGATCGTCTCACCACATTGTGCACTGTGTACTATATTGACTCAATGAAGCACAGCTAAGACACACAGAGGGAAAAGTCCATATATAGTCAAACACTAAATGCTTTCAGAACCTCTCAGATCTACAAAGGTGCCTCAGAGGCCATAAAATGGAGGTGGACTTGGGGTATGGGGTGAGCACAGAAGATGGGCTAGCACCCTGTCAGCTTGCATATACATACATGCCTTTCTTTCTCGCTCTCTCTTTCTTTCTGTGTGCTAAAACCACAGTAACTCGGCTTTCATTTTTCTATATAAGACTTCTGCATTACACTTCATTTAGAGGGTAAGAGTATGGGCTGACAAAAATAAAGATTTGAAATGCTATGTGGGTTTTATACAACTAGTATATATAAACTTGTATATATATTTATATAAATATATACTATATACAAGTAGTAAATATATAACTAGTTTACACAAACTAGTAAGAAAGGCTTCACAGAGGAACCTTGTGAAAGAAAGGACAGGGTTTGAACCAGGGAACAAGCAGTATGGGACAATGCTAGGCATAAGAACTACCTATTTTGGTGAAAGGACGCTGCCTGAACAGGGTTCAATAAACAGATGGTACACTGGCCATGACGCAAAGGCACTAAAAAAACAGTAGAAGTATATATTCTTAACTCTGTAACTTAAAAAAAAAAAAAAAAAGTATTTTTTTAAAGAAAGTAAGACTAAAAAAACAGTGAGACTATCAACATAAAGAATAAGTCAGAAAGTTTAAAAAAGATACGGTCAATCTGGATGCTAACAAAAGGCTTTTGAATAGTACATTAAAAATCTACAAACATGAAGATCTGAGTTCAAATGCCAACACACATGTTAAAAGCGAGGCATAGCCACATTCATGGCTGTAAAGAGGGGGCCACAGAGGGCATGGCATGGGACTATGACATCAGGATTGCTGGGGCTTGCTGGTTGCCAGCCTAAAACGAACAAGTTACAGCAAGGTAAGCTCAAATTAATCCAATGCATGTTGTATTTGATATAGAGCATGTTGTTTGGAAGGGAAATTCCAGAATGCCAAGAAGCAGTGACCAACACCATATTTAGTTTTCATTTAATGCTTCTGGCATCACAGGCACACCATGACAGCTCCACACACTAAGTATAAACTTAGCTGGAAAAGTTAACCAAACCTCGGCTTTTTCAAGCATGAAATGAGGACAGGGCTTCAAAATGACTGATCCCAACAGCATTATCAGGCCAACTGCTCAAGGGCAGTACACAGATAAAAACGGAATGTATTACAAATACTTTTAAAAACGGGGGAGGGTATTTGGGTTTTCGAGATAGGGTATCTCTGTGCAGCCCTGGCTGTCCTTGTCTTGCTTTGTAGCCCACGCTGGCCTCGAACTCTGAGATCCTCCTGCCTCTGCCTCCCTGAGTGCTGGGATCACAGGCGTGTGTTAATCAAGCCCAGCTTTAAAAAGGATTTTTGTTTGTTTGTGTTTTTTATGACCTCATTCTGTTGAAAAACCCGCACAGAACTGCTCCAGGCTACTCCGGAGGTAAAATAAATGGGAGTAAGTTCACGTAAAGCTGTTGCTCAAACTACATGGATAATTCCTACTTTAGGATAGTAACAACGCCTGTCCTACTTTAAGATTTAAAAACAACTCAAATAAATACGTCTAATAAGTCGCCACAAATTAAACTACAACTCACCACCTTAACTCCTCTGGGACCTCTCGTGGAATAACGGTACTGTTTACCCAGCTACACAAAAAGACACCAACTAGTCACTTCCAAAGAGAGAGTAAAAAAAAGAGAGATGACTGTTTTACAAAGCCCACAGACAAAGGGAGGCCTGCCGACCCCAGATTGCAGGGCCCCGGACCAGGAAGCAGATTCCCGTGGGAAAGTGGGGTTCATCCCGTGATCGCGGGGCATCCACCACCTCCCTTGCCTCCTCGTCCCACTTGTTTTTCCGCACCTTTCCTCTTTTGCCTCATCTCGGCGCCGCCGTAACAGGATGCCACCACGTACTGTAGTTGAGAGCACCGAGAAAGTTAGCAGCCGTAAAGCAGCCCGGGGCTGTCGTGAAAGCACAGCGACTGTACCGTAAAGCTCTTCCCAGAAGGCGGGGCGTGGAGCCCCGCCCCGTCCAGGTAGCGGCTTCACCTCTCATAGACTGGGAGGAGATGTGCGTCCAGGTTGAGTGGGAGGGTGGAGACTTTTTGGGGACCAGGAAGCTGGACCTGGCTAAGAACGACGGGACAGTTTATCTAAAGAAAGTTCATCTGCTCTGGGAATCTGGCACGAGAGTGAAATGTGGCCAGAGTTCTTAAAGCAAAAGCCTGGGCTTTGACAGCCTCCACGTGGGCCACGTGTCACTTGTATGGTCAACCTTGTCGAGATGAGGAATAGATAAAGGATACCAGTGGTTTCCCCACGTACACCCGCCCCTCCCCCGACACCCACCTCCAAGTCTGTCTTGGGGTGTTGACATAAGTTTTTAAAGATTATGGAAGAATTGAGGGCAGAAGGCAAGAGGCATGTTTATTTAAACAGTCCTGATGGTTAAGGTGTGCTCTGGCTGATCACTGGACACTGGATCTCAGGGTGATCAAAGTCTTTATTGCTGTCGTTCCCTCAGGAGATCCATCTGCTCCTACAGATAATCACTTAATGCTCCAGGGTGCAGCCCTGACTGATAATGGTCTTTCTATGGCAGGAGTCTGCGTTTTGAGGCTTTGTTTTCTCTCCAATCAGGGTGGCTGCAGGTTTAGGACAGTGATTTCTCTTTGACCCTTCAGCGAAAGTAAAGGAGACAAATAGACACAAAATGAAGAGAGATGCCAGGCTTTTATCTTGCATTTAGTTACTTGTCTAGCTGCCTGTTTGAAGAATGTGGTCCTTGCATGGGGCCAGGTACACCACACATGGGGGAGAGTGGATAGAAATCCTCGACACAGTGAGCATTAGCCTTTCAGTGTGATGAAAGCTAAGCTCTGATCTTCCTGAAAGACACTAGACAAGAAGCAAGTATCAGCTTGATCTTATATGCTTTGCAGACTGTAGGCTCCCCGGAGTCTTAGATTTTTCTTGATAACAGTCATGAAAACACTAGGTAAGACACCATGCACAAAATTTGGCAACATCTGGAGTTAGGACTTGGAATAACTTTTTGTTGAAACCCTTCCACGATCTCTTTTGCCCACAGACCTGAGATGAAGAATTCTTGGCATTAATAAAGGCTGGAAGATGTGTTTCCAGTAGTTACTTCTCACTAGAGTTGAGGTAGCTCTGTTTGGGGTGCCACCACTATACTGATCCTGTCTTAGTCAATATTGAAATTTTTCAGTGTATCACGTTATCTTAATATCACCAACCCCAGCCCATCAACAAAAAATAAGTTACCTTCCCTAAAAATACTTTAGGATACGGGTCCCTGTTCTAGAATTTTCTATTATTAATTTTTCAGTCTTTTATGGATACCTCTGTCTCACTTCAAGATACTGGTCTACTGCATCAGTCATGTGATCCTATCTCTTGTGATTCCCCAGAGTTCCATGGTTTTAAATATCACCTTTCTGTTCTCAGATATTTAAAACCCCAGCCTCTTCCCTGTTTGACATCTTGTTAGATGTTGATGTCTAATATGTATCTCAAGATTAACATGTATAAAACAAGAATGCTCCATGACTCCATGCTAGCTAGGATTATGTCAGCCTGACACACAAACTAGAGTTATCTGAAAGGAGGGAACCTCAATTGAGAAAAATGCCTCCACAAGGTCTGGCTGTACGGCATTTTCTTAAGTAGTGATTGATAACAGAGGGCCTATCCTGCTGTGGTGCCAGCCCTGGGCTGCTGGGTTCTATAACAGAAAGCTGAGCGACTCAGGGGAAGAAAGTCAGTCAGTAGCACTCCTCCTTAGCTCCTGAATCAGCTCTTACCTCCGGGTCCCTGCCCTGTTTGAGTTCCTGTCCTGTCTTCCTTCAGTGATGAACTACAATGTGGAAGTGTAAGCAAAATAAACCCTTTCCTCCCCAACTCGCTTTTGCTCTCAACAATACAAAACAAACAAACAAACAAAAGACAGCAAAAGACAGATTGCAATGTCATCAAAGTTTGGAAGCACTGAGTAAGGCAAGAGATTATTGTGCCTCAAATCAGGGTGGAAAGTCATGGAAGTGGTAAGACATGCTCAAAATCAAAATGTTTTTGATGATTTCAATAAGTGTTTCACTCAGTGTGGGATCATGGAGAGAGAGAGGTCAAGTGTGAGATCTCGGCTGTGGATCAAGGACAGGAATAACGCAGTTGTCATGATCTGAGATGAGATGTCTCAGAGGGGCTTTGGATTTGTTTATCTGAGATGCCTGGTGAGTGGCAAATCACGAGAGAAGTTATAGCTTGAGATCCAGTTGAGAGTTTTAGGTGTATGGTGTAGCTTAAAGTTGTGATACAGTGTGAAAAATGAGACTGAAGTCTAAGCCTCAGGGTATCCTATTATTAACAGATCAGAGACAAGGCTAGTAACTGGCTAGGAAACTGGCTAGGTACATCTAGGGAGGCGGGAGGAGAACCAAAAGCCAAGTAAACAACGTCAGGAAGTAGGGAGTTATCAACTGGGTCATGCACTGCTGCTGAGTCAAGGAAGATAAAGACTGAGTTGATCAGGATCATTGGGGACCTTGATGAGAACAGTTTTGGAGGAAGACGAAGGGTCCCAGCTGGACTGAAGTAAGCTTATAGCGCCAGCTAATCTTGGTTACCAACTTGACACTGTTGGAAAGGGGAACTTCAACTGAAGAATTATTTCTACCCGATTGGGCTATGAGGCATTTTCTTGATTGCTAATTGATGGAGGAGGGCACAGCTCACGGAGACGGTACCATCCCTGAGCAGATGGGCCTGGGCTGTACAAGAAGGATAGCTAGATATGAGCCTGGAAGCAATCCAGCAAACAGCATTCCTTCATAGTCTCTGCTTTACTTCCTGCTCAAACTCCTGCCCTGACTTTCCTCAATGCTGGACTGTGACCTAGAAGTGTAAGCCAAAGAAACCCTTTCCCCCTGAGGTTGCTTTTGGTTAGGGTATTTATTAGAGCAGCAGAGCACAAACTAGGATGGTTTATAATAGATGCATAGGAGAGGATTGGGTGAGTTGAGACAATTTTGAGGAGATTTGTCATAAGAAAGTGTGGCTAAATGGGGCAGTGGCTGGCAAAAATATCTGAGGACAAGAGGGTGATGCAAAATGGCAGTGGGCTTGCATGTATATCTACTGGGGTGGGGAGTTAAAGTTTGATGGATTAAGAGAAGGAAGTGTTCTGCTTAATTCTTTGATTGAAGAAATATGATATGATGCAGGAGAAGAGACAAGTTATCCTTTGATGGGCACTTGGATGGTTCATCTATTAACAGAGCAGAGCAGTGATGGGGGGGTAGGGTGTGATGATGCTTTGTGAGAATTGTCCCCCTCCCCCGCCCCCGATTGACTTTGATTCTTTCACTGAGTTCAGTGGGAATTCAGCTGGACAGAGTGACCAAACTTCTCACCAATCTAGCATTAGTGCCCAAGTCCAGTTTCAGTGCCAAGGGCTGGTGTAAAGAACCCAGGGATCTTTAACAGCTCCCCAGCCTATTTTAAAGTGATTCAATAGCACTTCTGAATATAGTTAGCTGTTCAGACATGGAACTCGCCAGGAGGGGGCAAGCTAAGTATGGTTGTATGATTGGAAGTGGTGATCTTGTGATATTCATGGTGATTTTTTTTCTGTTTTGAAATTCATACTGGCAAACATATAAAAAGAAATGCAAAAGAGCCAAAGAGGAAAAAAAAATCTCTGGAATTCATATTGATATTTCAGTATCTTGCTTGTGTAAGAAGGACCCATTCTGTCGAAAGTTCAAAGCAGTTTTTTAGATACTCTGAACGTTTATCTTCAATTCTGCCCACGTTTTGATTTTGTTACTTTCTGACTCCCATTTTGGGCTACACACACACCCAGAGTCCTTGAACGTTGAACTGGGAATGATCAAATCGCGCTATCCAGAGGTAACGGCCCATATCTGCAGCTTGAAAGGATTCACTTTTCCTGAGTCTGATAGACAGGGTAGCCAACCTTCACAGGGGAGGAGGTTTTATTTTCAGTCCTTCTCTGCTGGGTGGCACTCTAAAAACATTTGTTTTTAAGTTCAAGACCAGTCTATGCTACGTAGGGAGACTCTGTCTTAAAAAGAAACAGAACACAATTAAAATTTTAAAAAAAAAATCTAAAGTTTAATTTCTCAAAAGAGTTACTTGACCCTGGCTCTCTACTTCTTCTTTTTTTCTATAATCAAAATCCAATAATATTTTATCTTTGATGGAATGTGTTTGGGGGTAACAATGAGTTTGCATCAAATTGGCTGTTGACCATGTCCTGTCCTCCACCTCCCTCATGCATATTTGAGAATCTGCGAACTGGTCCTTTGTTTCTCCAGCCTGGACCCATCCGGATAGCAGTTACCCTCAGAGAAAAGTGTGCTGTGGCAAGGTTCTGGGATATGTTTGGGAAGAAAAAGTGGTCAAGTCCTGCCTGATTGCGGGGAGACAGCTGGGAGGAGGGCACAACCCCCATTTTACATGTGATTTGAAGTTTAAAAGAAAATAGAAAATAGCGTATCTGCATTTGGGGGGAGGAGGCTGGGGTAGATGGCCTACAGTGGTTGGTTTCACTTCCGCTGTGTTTATAAATGTGGCTTTGTGAATGTGACCACTGAGGGCCTGATCTAGCAGGTCCCTGGCGTCTGCACAGCTGTGTAGGTGTGTTCTCTGCTAGCCGCTGTCTCACTGTGGACTCCTGGAACTGAAGCAAAGCTGTTTGGAATTTTTTGGAGTTTTGCTTTTTGTGTTCTGTTCAGCAACATCTGGTAAGTTATTTCTCTTATGTATTTTTGTGCTATGGTTTGTGGATTATTTTTTTAAAAAAATAATAGCAGCTTAAAATTAATAGTTTTAGATTTACAGAGAGCTTGAGAAAATAGTTCCTGTAACCTGCACTCAATCACCCTGATTATACTGGAGTGGTACATTAGTTATGAATGGGCCCATATTTCTGTGTCGGTGCTAAGTGATGTCTATGTCTTAGTGAATGGAGGTTCTGAGTTTATATCTGGGGTTCATGGTCTACTATAGGATTCCTTCCAGAATACCAAATTATACTTGTCTGTTCTGTCTCTATAGGTTCTTCTTGGCTGTCACCTGAGACCTTTCTTTTTGACAAGATTGACAATTTGGATGGGTACAAATTGGAAGGGTACCAATTTGGCTTGGCACTTTGTAAGATTCTCTGCTATTGGCATTTCCTGATATTTTTCTTATACTTAGATTAGATTAGATTAGAATTAGGGGTTGGGGGAAGAAGCTCACAGAGTTGAAGTCATTCTCATCACACCTCGAGGAGAATCAACAGCATCTCCTTGTTCTGACCTGGGTTGTTTGGCTGGGGTGGTATGGGGTAAATTACTTCTTTCCCTCCAATTTCCATATTGTACGTCTCAAAAGGAAGTCAGTACACAAAAAGTCCCCAAAGAATGGGGAATTGTGCTTCTGCCCGTGAGGACGGGCTAGCCACACAAATACTGGAATTCTTCAGTCTGGGGAGACAGGAAGATTTTCTTTTCAATGACTGACTTTCTAAGAGTGGGTTACAGGCTTCTTGTTTCTTCCACTGCTCTGCTTAGTGCATAGCAAGCGAGGCGGTCTGGGAGACTTCAGCTGAGTCTCCTGTCTCTAACTCCTACTTTTCTGTAAGCATGCCAGAATGAGAGAGGTATCCTCCTGCTCACCTTTCCCCTGTGTTCTAACAGTGGAACTTGCTGTCAGGCCTGTACAGCAATCAGGGGAAAGCACCTTTACCTGATGAGCACTCTCCTTGGCCAAGATGAGTTGTTACTTAAGAGAAAATGAATTTTACCTTTCTGTATGTTGTGAGTGAATTTTAAGGCCATATAAGTACCAATATACTAGAAATTGGGAGAATAAAATTCTATGTTTTTTTTAAAAACAAACAAACAAACAAACAAACAAAAGAAACATAATTTCAGGCAAAGCAGAACCATTTCTCCCAAAATAAAACAGCAATGCAGGAAATGTTCAGGTCATATGGATTCATAACAGGGAGAAATATTATATCTTATTACTGTGACAAGCTTGGGAGAGGAAGACAAAAGATTAAACTTTGTTTCATCCGAATGGGATAGTATCTGCTTAACTACTCACTTATTCACCTAGGGGGAAAGTTGGCAGTAAAACGCATCACCACATGCCCTTTCCACCTCTGACGGACACCTGACATTGGATACACTGGCTGATGGGTTAAGTGAAAACCACTTCTTTTTCCTTGAGGAATTTGAAGGTTTGGCTTGAGAGCCCATATGGAATAATTGCTCTTGACTTTGTTGTCTGGTGACAACTACCTTACTGTGTGATTGTTCCTTCCCTTCTCTGTGCTTCAGGGTCCATATCTGTAAAATAAAGGCTCTGATGGTCCTTCTTTAATTTCACTCTCCACAGCTGTTCTCTGGGAGGGATAATGAGTTCGTATCACCTCTTTTACTGACCGCTTATAATAAAAAGATCATGAGCAAAGACAAACAAAAGAAAGGGCGGGTGAGAGGGGTAGGAATAATTGTCAAAAGTCAGTTATTTAACAGGAAATCAGCACTACCGGGGAGGCCATCCCAAGCAGAGCATCATTTAAAAAGATGCTATTTTAGGGCTCAGGGCATGCAAATGTAAATGAGCCCTAAGAGCAAAACCTGAAGGCTGGCCATGCAGCAAAATAACGTGAGCTCGGAGAAGCTTGCTGGTCTGCGCAGTGTAAGTTTGGACTGCCTTGGATTGGCTCTTTATGGAAGCCAATCCAATTTTCCCTCCATACCCGACCATTATTACCTCCCTTTGCAGGGAAGAGGATTCTGGCATCAGCTGAGGAAGGCTGTTGTCTCTTGAAGACTGTAAACTCGGCACTGGGGCTGTCTCAGTAGTACTCCTCTGCTCCTAATCACCGTTATGTTGTTGGTGATGTTTCCACATGAGGATTCTCATCCTGTCAGTTGACGCCAGAGGACACACCTTCTGCTTACAGATGGGAAACACAAGGCTCAGAGTGTCAGGGTGACTTTGGGAAGTCCCATAGCCCCGCTGCTCTTTTGGTTGGTAGCAGAAGAAGAAGCAAATTGCCCTTTGCCACTACAGCGTTCAGTCCCATATTGATTGACTGGACGCTTATAGCTTTTCCTTTTGCTCTCTTTATAGAGGGTTCCTGCCAATTTTCTAGTGCCTTAGTTTGCCAATCAAATGACCCCTTCTTCAGTCTTTGAACTTGGCAGAAGGAATCTGAAAACTAAATTCCTGAAACCTCATTTCAAGTCATTCCCGTTATTTCCCTATGTCAGCTAGAGGTCACAAACTTTGTCTGCTGATACTGTGGCTGCTCTTTTGGTGAGAGGCTCACAGTTTGCTGTCTGCTTGATGCAGACAAACTCAGTCTAAACCTAGATATATATGTGCCAACAGATTTTTCTGGACATCATGTGTTGTTGATGTAGTAAATGAAGACAGTTGAACTTTCCCCTGACCCTGAAAGCAGCCCAAATCGCTGCCCATGTTCCAGAATCCAGTGAGCATGCCTGTGTCTTCCCTTAACTGTGTGCACTTTTTAAAATGTGCTTTAATCCACATCCCTCTGGAACTAAAGGGCCTTTGTCTCAAAGATGAATCTTAAGGCATCTTCAAATCCAAAAGTCTGAGAGATGTTCTTGCAGCCTTATAGAAGTATGGCAAGGATGCTTTGGCCATGGTCAATTGGTTCTTTTGGGTTTTGTTTGGACTCACTATTCCACCCACCCCGGGAATTTGAATTCTAGAACACAGATTGTCCTGGAAATCCACAGATTTTTGTCCAACAGTGGGACCATGCGTTTTCTTTGGTCTCCAGTGTCCACAGCGGAGACATGATGGCTAATGTTCTGTGTAATGACGGCTCACTGAGCCACAATTATTTAGGAAATGGCAAAGTTATTTGTTACTTCCTCATTTTTGTGCCAAAAGTCACTGACAGGTCTTAGTGTAGAGTGGCCATGTTGTAATACTTTGACCTTTTCTGCCCTTACTCACTTCGGTCCTGATGTGGCTTAGTAACAATGAATTTTAAACTATTTGTTTGTTTGTTTGTTTATGTATATAGGTGTTTTTGGCTGCATGTATATCTGCGTATCATGTGTGTGCCTATTAACCACAAAGGCCAGAAGAGGGCATTAGACTCCCCTAGGACCAGAGTTATGGGTGGACGTGAACCACCCTGTGGGTGCTGGGAATGGAACCTGGATCCTCTGCATGAACAATGACTTCTCTTAACTGCTGGGCCATCTCTTCAGCCCCAAGTGTTTCAATCAGAAGTCACTGTGTCTTTCATGATATATGATCTTGAACCTTTCCCCTCTTAGCATTTCTGCTGAGCACTTCAAATAAGAGCTCAGAATATCGGCATCTGAAGATGCCTTAGGGTCCATCTAGTACCTTATCAGATGGCACAGACTTCTCTAGTATCAGAACACCTTGAAGAATTCATAGTTCAAGAAGGAGGAAACATAAATAAACCATGGCTACTGAGCTATACATAGGGGTACACACCTGTAATCCCAGCACTCCAGAGCGGCAAAAGAGTCATGAGCTGGAGGCCAATCTGGGCCTAAGCTACATAGAGAGATGCTGTGGAAAGAAAGAAAAGAAAGAAAGAGGGGGAGGGAGAGGGGGAGAGAGGGAGAAAAGAAAGGTCATCATAACTGGGCCATTTACAGAGCAGCAGGCACCTGAGAGGGAAATAATAAAGAATTCAGACACCTTATTGGAAAAAAAAAATCCAGGAAGAAAATCTTGAGTAAAGAGTAGGAGCTCACAGGAATGAAAAGGGACAGGATGTCCCAACAGGCTAGGTGTATGGAAATTCAGCAGAATTCCCTTCCCTGGAGAACCACAGAGGGTGTGCATAGCCTGAGAATGGGCTGCAGGAGACAGAGGGGAGGGCTAAATTGCTTCTGTCCTCACCTATGGTCGCATCCCCCCCCCCCCCCCCCCCCGCATTCTAGCAGAGTACCAAACACAAAGGCCGTTTGGTCAGGTCAGGTCGGCAAGGTGCCCCAAGAATAGATCCTTTCAACTGGCGAGCTGTGATTTTTATTTGGGGGTCACATGTAAATAAGGCTCCGCCTGCCTTCTGTAGAGAGTCTGTCTCTGAAAGACCTAAGAGGTTAGTGGAGGTTGACCCATCAGGAAGGTTTTGCATATTTCAGAAGGGTTGGTGGTTCTGTTTTTGAAATGCACTGCTGAGTGCTCCCCCGCAGAAGTAGTGGCTATGGAAAGCAAGGACTCCAGGTACTCCCCCCTGTGTTCCCATATTCTCACCTAGGAAAGCTGAGAAAGGGGCTCCAGTGCGGTATATGTCCACCTGCTTTGTGTACTGTCCCTTCCACAGGGATGCCACAGGGCTGCGCATAATCAAGCCCCAGTAAGTTATCTTCCTGTTGAAGTGGGGGCAAGAAAGCCCACCAATCTGAATTACTGTACCTCTCCTTCCCTGCTCAGTATCCAGCAACACAGCCTCAGCCCCAAGAAATGTCACTGTAGACCTACCCACTTCAAGCTGACACTTGCTGGAGATTAATGTCATTGGCACAGGTTCAAGTTCACCTAACTGGGGCACTGATCTTGCCCACAACAGCCGAAGCGCAGAACTTGACCTCCCTAGCTCTGGTCACCAGGGATTTATTCTCATTTCGGAATGAGTTGAAGATCTCAGGCAATGTCAGATTAAACCTCCCTAGAGATGTGTGTGATGGAGAACCGACGGTCACATATTAATCTGCGGCACAGTTAGCGTCAGTGGCGCATGAGGCATGGTGAGGGTTTCAAAGAGGAGTGAGAATGCTCCCTGCTCTTTAGAAGATTGCTATCCAGTGGCAGATACAAGACACAAGCATTTTTATGTATTCTCACTCTGGGAGGTTTCTGCTTTGGTTTTTTAATGAAACACGGGCCTTGCTGTGTAGCCCAGCCTGCCCTCGAACTTATGGTTCTCTTGTTTAGTCTTTCATTGAGTGGAATTGGTACTCCTCCTGGCTGTTTATGGTACTTTTAAGGTGTATACCTTTCCTCTTTGTTCTTTGTCCTTTCAGGCTGGTTTTCCTCAGCAGGCAAAAGAAGCCACAGAGCAGGAAATGGCAGAAATGGAGGCTTTGGTGGGTGTGACACCACACTCAGGTAACACCCCTGAAATGATCTTAGGTAGGACCTGGCTAGGGTTGTCTGCTGAACAGACAACACTATAGTCTCTGTTGAGACTATAACCACGGCTGTCATCCTTTGCTCTTTAGTGACATGCTGTTTTCTGATGACAACTTAGTAAGAAATGGATGTCAATCTTTAACAACAATAATTAAAGCAGTCTATTCATAACAAAACGAACTCTTTGACTACCGGTTATGTAGACGAGGGTTCCTATGTAAAAATAAAGTTTCTAGAACATGGGCTTGGGCTCTCTGAAATCCGGGGGGGGGGGGGGTGAGGTGAGGCCCTTGGAACACAAGCAGCTGGCTTTTCCTTGAAGCGGAGAAAGGTCTAAGGAGTGTCTCATTGAAGGATGAGTCCCATTGGGGTCAGTTTGAGCTTAGCTCCCTCAGTGGGTTGGTGGGAGGTATCCCGGGCCACAGAGAGTACATCTTTAGGAAGCCTGAGGGAAGTAGCTCCAAAGTACAGGAAAAAGGGTGCAGCAAAATCATCCTCTTTCTCAAAACCGAGGAGGAAAATATTCTTCATCACTATGGAAACAACTCACTTAGGGGAAAGGGGATGGACGTTTCCTGGACTTTGTAGGCAGCAGCCATCTCCTGAAGCCTGACTGGACACACAAAAAGAACTGCAACTTCTCAGGTCACTTGGGCTGAGCTCAGAGCTAAAGAGGGGGCCCTTTGCTAAAGCAAGGTCCAGCTTGATCATCTATTGGGGATCACTTTTCAAAAGTGACACCTCCTGCTTCCTTCTGCCTGTCTTGCTCTTTACTAGAATAATCCAGTGTAGCTGGGAAAAGACAAGTGGATTCCCAAGCAAATGTAGAGGATAATGAGAACTATGGTCCAAGTTTAGGCCAGTTCATTCCAGCTACTGTTTAATATGCCCATTTGTGGTATAAATTCAAGATGGAATGTTTTATCCTTTCCAAGGTTTTTTTATTTTTTTCATTTTGTGAACGGAGTAAAGAATTGTTAAACATGTTATTTCACCCGAACTCTTACCCCGAGCTCCTACACATTAGATGATTTGCCAGGCCTAACAAAGCTTAAATAAGGGCCTAGATAGATGGGCTTGTTCCTTGTTTTGTGCGTGGCTAAGAGACATTGTTCACACAAGAGTTACAAAGCAGACAGCCTTTGACATTATTTCATACAGGACTGTGCATACATCCTGACATTCTGAGCTACTTCCTGGCACAGGGTCTTCAGCACTTGGCCTATAGCTGTCCCAGGCCTTCAAGCAGCATGCTCTTTTCTTCTCTGCCTCTTCCTCTCTGGCTGAAGCCAGAGAGCCAGCAACCGCTTGGTATTTAGTTCTAATAAAGTCCTGAAGCTGAGCCAGGATGGATTCTTCTGGTCGAGATCAATCATTTCCTGGGATGGAAGGAGCTAGTGAACGAGCCTTTTCATCTGTGACAGCAGAAACACGAGGTGTCAGCCATTTCCTCAAGCTTCAGCACATGTGTGGCTCTTCACTGGATCTTCTATCGCTCCAGAAGGGCAGCAGAGTCTGTGCTGGAAGATGTGAGACTAAAGAGGTGGTGGGGGTGGAGGGCTGTGCGTGATGTGTGGGAGACCCATATCTGGAGCCCAGGGATGGGAGCAGTCTGGAGTTTCTGTGTAGGCTGCTACCCTGGCTCCCCAATGAAGTGCCTCACCGGTCCATCAAGGAAGGTGACCTTCTTAGGCCACACTCAGCTTTGGGGTTTTGTACCCTCTTTTCATGATCTTGGAGTGGCACCTCTTGGGACCAGCTTGTTCCAGTTTATTCCAGGGCTGTTTTGCTGGCAACCAGCAAGCCCCTGGTAACTGGGTTAGGATAATTTCCAGCACTTTTGCCCCAGAAACCAAGATATTACCCCTTTCTAGCCAGGCAGCACCAATGAGGTACATTTTCTAAATCTAAAGCACAGCTCTCCTCAACTTCATGGCCCTTACCAGCTTTTCATCTCCAAATCAAGTCACCATGTAAGCGAATGACCCTCGCAGACTTCAAAGATCTGCTGCTCCTGAGTTCTATTTTTTCCTGCTTAAGGAAGTAACTGATAATGTGTGTAGGTGAAGAAGCATAGAGCAGGGGTGGTTTCCCTAATTTAATCTCCAAAAAGCATCTCTATCTACCTACCTACCTACCTGCCTGCCTATCTATCTGTCTATCTATCTACCTACCTATCTATCATCTATCTACATCTTGACCACAGTTTACCTTCCCTCCTCTCCTCCCAGTCCCGCTCCCACTTCCCTGTCCCCACCCCCACCCCATCCACTCCTCCTCAGTTTCTCTTCAGAAAGGGGCAGGCCTCCCATGGATATCAACCAGCCATGGCATATCAAGTTCCAGTAAAACTAGTCCGTCCTCTCCTATTAATGCTAGATGAGGCCACCTAGTAAGAGGAAGGGTCCCAAAGACAGGCAACAGAGTCATAGACAGCCCCTGCACCCACTGTTAGGAGTCCTACAAGAAGACCAAGCTACACACCTGTAACATATGTGCAGAGAGCCTGGGTCAGTTCCATGAAGGCTCCCTGGTTGGCAGTTCAGTCTCTGTGAGCCCCTATAAGCCCAGGTTAGATGATGTTGTGGGGTTTTTTTTGTGGTATCCTTGACCCTTCTGGCTCCTACAATCCTTATTAATATACATTTTTGTGGTATTAGGGATTGAACCTAGGACCTCATGTATGCTAGTTAAGTACTCTACCACTGAGCTCTATCCCCATTTAAAAGTATTTTTTCAGCTTGTGTATGTAAACATGTTGTACGCATTTGCATATGTGTGTATTTGTATGTGTGCACATGTGTGCATAGATACGGAAGCCAGAGGCAAATGTAGGCTGTTTTCCTCAGTTGCTGTCCACTTTGTTGTTAAGTTTTATAAAATCTCTATTGATAAATAATCCACATAGTCCACAACTTGCCTGTTTGTACAATTCGACAGATTTTCGTCCAGCATCCTCATAGGCCTGTGACACCATCATTGCTTTCTATTTTAGAATGTTGTTTTGGCCGATCTCATACATACATATAATGTATTGTGATTACATTCCACCTTATTCTTCGAGACAGAGTCTCTCTCTGACCCTGGAGCTTACCAACTAAGCCAGACTGGCTGGCCAGGGAGCTCCAGCCTCCGCCTTTCTCTGCCTCCACGGTGCTGGGTGTAAAGCTGGCCCACCATAACTTCTATGTAGGTGCTGGCCACTGGACTCTGGTCCTCATGCTGTATCACGAGTACTTTACTGACTGAGCCATCTCCCTCTTTTATTTTGAGATAATTCTCTTTCTAGGTATCCCAGGCTGATCTAGAAACCACGATTTCCCTTCTTTCCGAGTCATGTACCACCAGGCCCAGCTGAAAGACATCCATTGTACAGGGAACCCCTCGAACTGTTTCGGTGCTTCCATTTTACCAGCCTTTCGGTTTACAGATGAGGAAGGGTTCTGGTTACGTGCTTTCTTTTCCCTCTGATCTGTTTCTGATGGAGGTCTTTCCTCATCTGAAAGGCTTGCCTGTTCCCCATACTTCACCCTGCTTTGAGATTTCCTCTCCTCTGTTAGTGGATGTCCTAAGACTTACGTTTGGTGAACCCAGCCACTTTGGTTTCTGAGGACACGCAAACAGAGGGTTGCCTCTAGAGAGTGATGTTGGAGCCTGACGCGTGGTGGTTAATACTGATTGTCAATTCATAGTCACCGAGGAGACCAGCCTACAAGCACACCTGTGAGGGAGTTCCTGCACTGGGTTAACAGAGGTGGGAAGCCCCACCCTGAGTGTGGGCTACACTGTTCCCTAGGCTGGAGTCCTGGATGGAATAAAATGACAAAAGTGAGCTGTGCCCTGCTGTACATTATTCCTGACTGCAGATACTATGTGACTGGCTGCTCTGTACAGATAATACATTTGTACAGATAATACAAAAGTAACGGATGCAAACAAGTACAGTGATCTGAGAATTAGGTCCTAAATTGGGACAATCCCTCAGAGCTGCTTTCCAAAAGCACTAACAGGCAGGCAGAGCTGGTCGGGGTCCTCTGAGGCCTTTTGATTGTGTGCATTGGCAGAGATGAGGCAGGGATCCTCTGTCCACCCTCAACTTGTAATTCTGTATATCCTCTGTTTATCCCTAGTTGACTGCCATCTGTTTAAAGAACCTGTGAAGAAAAGACGCAGGTCACATCACGGCCAGCAGTTCCAAGCGTTTCCCTCTGTGGAGCAAAGTGCTCTCAAGGAATGTGAGTGTTACGAAGGGCTGGGTGTGGTGCCGCAACAGGACTCTGTCTTATGCAAATGTGTGTGAAAGCTCAGAGGGAGTTCTGCAGGCAAGGAAACACCTCTGCATGCGCTCGTCCTGTGTAGTCTCTGCAGAGGTCTGCAATTTGGCTGGCTACCTGCAGGCTGCTCTGGAGAGGAGGGGCATTTTCAAAAGAGCCCTTTCCTGATAAGAAGAGTCTGGAGAAGGTCACCTAGGTACCTTGGTGGGTGTTTATATGGCATCCACGGGAAAGCAGGATCTAGAAGGGCTAAAGTCTGTGGCAACACTTGAGTAAGTTCTGTGGTAGGGGAGGCACAGAGCGTGCTGGTCTCTAGAGGGGCTTGGGACGAACACCGCCTCTTGATGATCACTGATCTCCAGTGGCAGATAGCTTGCTCGCTGGGTTGACCAGCTTCTCGTCTCATGAGTTTTCTCCCTTCTCTGCAGTATCCAGCAGCCTCCTTTAGAGACTTGGTACTCTTTCTCTGCTCTGCACATCCCAGACCATCCATTTCTTTTGATTCCAGATGAAAAACTGGAGTCCAGGACCAGGAGGGTTCTGAGCAACACTTATCAGAAGTTGATTCAGTCTGTCTTTCTGGATGACAGCATTCCCAGCGGACTCAAGTATCTCATGTGAGTCTGGAATCGGTATCCTCTCACCTGATGCTACCCTCTCCCCCAAGAAAAACAGAAAGTGCTTTTAATTAGAAACAGCACAGGATAGAAGAAAAAACCCTATGGCTGAGACTTTAAAAAAAAACAAAACAAAACATTAATAGCTATTTGTTGCGTGGCCACTGTTGACAGCTACTCTACTGTGCACCTTACAAACCCACGATTTCATTTCATCCTCTTAATGCCCCTGTAAAGTGGGAGCTAATGTGATTGTCCCATTTATACTGAAACTGAAACTCAGGGAGGCCAAGCAAGCAAAGTCACACTGTGGATAAGTGGAAAGGCTCCAAACTCAGCCAAGCCATGTGTCACTGAGTTCATGAACTGTTCGTGCAGAACTGGCCTGGAAATCCCCAGTAAAGTTAAGGACGTTGTTGACCTTGCTCATGGGACTCTGGGTTGATGGATATGCAGTTTCCATGAACACCAACAAGGGTATCTCTCACCTATGAGGAGAGTACAACATTTGTGGAGAACTCTCCTTACCAAGCATTTTTACCTAGTCCCGTTTGCTCTCTGGCCCAAGTCTTTATAGTAAACAAGGAGCGATTGTCTCCTTCAGTCAGAGAAAGGGAGGATATGTGAGTTGCCCAGGACTGGATCTTAGTGTCTTTGCGTTCTGCTCTGATGTGCTTCATTTCATACTTGATGTGCATTTTGGAATGGATGCAGAAACCGGCTTCTTGCCTTGATTGAAAAACCGCCGCTGGAGCCGGTCTATGTGGGGTTCTTGGGAAACACTGGAGCCGGCAAGAGTTCTCTGATCAATGCCCTCATCCAGGAAGCGATGTTTCTACCAGTGTCTGGAGAAAGCGTATGCACGGCCTGCATCGTACAAGTGAGCTCTGGCTGCTGCGATCAGTATGAGGCCAAAATCCACCTTCTGTCTGATCAGGTAAGCTGGCCTGCCCTCCCTTCTCATCTTTTCCACCCCCCTCCTTTCTCTTTTTCCTCCCTCTTTTCCTTTCTTCCCTGAATTTCTCATCTTCATGACACCAGAGATTGCATTATATTATATTATATTATATTATATTATATTATATTATATTATATTATATTATATTATATTATATTATATTATATTATATT